TATCTATAATTGGCTTATATTAATAGGTCAATTAACATAAAAATTTCAAGTTTGGTACATTGCGTGAGTGCTTCGAATTTCCGTTTATCCGTAGTTTGAGGGGTTATACGAGTAGACACGTGCAGAAAATTTAAATCGAATTAACATAATTAATACAGGAATTTACACCGATAATAATGTTATATTATTGCATACCTGGTTCACAAAAAATAATGACGTAAAACATTCCGGAGAAATTTAAATTTTTCTGCTTATTTTATTTTTAAATTAAAACAAAATTCGTTGCCAAAATCCCCAAGAACGCAAAGAAAAATACAAAATCAGAGTAAGTGGATAAGTATATGCATTGCGTACACCTTTTGACATGCTGAAAAGATAGGTTCAGTCACATCAGAACTAGAAAGTCGAAGATAAACTAAAGCCCAAAGATGTTAGACTGTGTTGGGCGCCAGGACACAAGGCATTGACGGATCCGAAATAGAATTCATTGACCCGGAGGTCGTCTGTGGCACATCTCCCAGTGTAGTCAGGGGGGCTTTATGCATACAAATTGAAACAGGATACAGAAAATATTAGGCTTCAAAGCTAGGGAAAAGCTATGCGGAGGAACTTATGGAGTGTTGCAGAAAAGAACGAATGAATTGCAGAGCTTGAATAAAATTCGGCTCAGGAAAGTGACGGGACTTATAACGGGGCACTGTCGCTTCAGGCAACATTTATACAAGTTAAGGCTTGTAGACAGTCTGCTGAGGGTGCGACTCGGCCGATGAAACTTGTCTGCATATCCTAGACGGGTGCCCTAGGAGTTGCACGCAGTAGAATGACGCTCCTGGGAGATCCCTTTCTGGAACCCAAGGAGCTAAGAGAAGTGTCGACAAGAAAGTTTTTGAACCTTGTAAAAAAGACAAAACTACTTGATGAATAACATGAACAGTGGGATGCACAATAGACCCGATAAAGCTCGCAGTGCTATGGGACTTGATTGTAACAAAAGCCGGAACTCGTGATAGATTATTTTTAGTTCTCGGAGGGATCGGTCTACCCAGTCGACAATAATTATTGAAAAGTTAAGGCTTTTCAAGTAGGTTTAGCGTCGCCATAAAGTCGTTGAGAAACTGGTGCCTCTTGTCACCGGGAGTAATAAATTTGCAAAGCTCGACCATCGCAGACCTTCGGAGAAGGCCTCATGAAATTTAGCACTTAGATCGTCGGGGCCATGTGTTAGGCATCTGGTATCGACTAACTGCGTCGGTTCAGCCCATGGTGAAGGAAAAAATCAATATTTCTAATAACGCGCGAAATACATTCGAAAGGAATTCTAAGATATTTAAATAAGTTGTTAGAATGTTGTGAGGAAAATAATAATAGATCAAATAGCTCGTTTTTAGACGGATTTTCCAAGCTATAAGAATAGATTAAATGACTAATCCGTCCTGTGTTGCTATATGGAGTCACAAGAGGAAGGTGTAGAGTTACTTGTAAGTTCTGTTTAGTCTCAAAATTATCCATACAATTGTAAATTCAGTCAATTATAGTCTGTTTGGAAATGAAAGAGAGTAATAAAACCCCGAGATAAGAACCGGCCATGGGCATGGTAATATTTTGTTTCAGGTAATTATCGGGTAACACTAATGCTAACAGGCAATGGGTGTACATTAGTATATTTTACTGGATACATCATAGGGCAGGAGCCAGTGTATTGTGACAGATCAATCCAGTCTTAGAGCTGAATATACGAAGACGTGCTAGTGCAGTAGAGTAAAATTCGACTTGTGTTTAGTGACTATTGTGCCAGTGGATATAATATTGTTTGGGTAAAATGTCGAGCTTATCAGATTACGTACCTGCTAAACGCGTGAAAAGATGTGCGCTGTCTCAGAATGAGAAGATTATTATATTAAATGTATTTAATGCATTGAAACACCAAAATCCTACCAACAGTGTTGACGACATCGTGGAAAAGTGTTCCAAAATGACAGGGATTGGAAAATCGACTATCTACAGACTTTTAAAGGAAACAAAAAATGAACAAGATACTGTAAATCCCCCAAAATCATCTACAGGGAGGTCAAAAGTCGTTATAGATGATTTCTTCAAAAATGTCATTCGCAGAAAAGTACACTCATTTTATTTTAAAAAAGAAATACCAACGCTAAACAAAATTTTAAGTGAACTTTCAGAGGACAACGATTTGCCAAAAATCAGTAGAAGCAAATTATGGGCCGTCTTACGAGAGTTGAATTTTTGCTGGGAAAAGCAGAACAGGAAGTCAGTTCTTATCGATAAAGATGAAATTATTTGTTGGCGAAGATCCTACTTAAGATCAATTAGAAAATTCCGTGACGAAGGGAGGAATATTTATTATCTAGACGAAACTTGGGTCAACGAGGGATATACTGTAACAAAAGTATGGCAAGATAAAAATGTAAAAAGTTTTCGACAAGCATTTTTGGATGGACTTTCAACAGGGTTCAAGGCACCTTCAGGTAAAGGGCGAAGATTAATAGTGACACATATAGGTAGTGCCAGTGGTTTTGTAGATGGCGGTTTACTTTTATTTGAATCTAAAAATACAGGTGACTATCACGAAGACATGAACGCAGATGTTTTCGAAGAGTATTTTACACAGATGTTGGATCTTATTCCTCCGGGGTCTGTAATTGTCATGGATAATGCCAGTTACCATTCACGGCAGACCGAGCGGACGCCTACGACTGCTTGGAGGAAAGCCGATATAATTCAATGGTTATCCGGAAAAAACATTTCTTTTGAAACAAATATGGTGAAAAAGGAACTTTTGACACTTGTCAATCTTAATAAAGATCAGAAAAAATATGTTATCGATGAAATGGCAACAAATCGCCAAATAACGGTACTACGGTTACCACCTTATCACTGTGAACTTAACCCAATCGAATTAGTCTGGGCGCAGGTAAAAGGAGATGTAGCGCGAAATAATACGACGTTTAAATTAAGTGACGTGAAAATTTTGTTAAAAAATTCCTTGGAACGAGTAACTGCAGATAACTGGCAAAGATGTATACATCATGTACAAAAAGAAGAGGAGAAAATGTGGGAACTCGATAATTTAATTGACGTTACTGTGGAACCTATCGTTATCAATCTAGGAGACGAAGATAATTCATCAGAATATTCAGAGGATGAATTTTAATATACCTACTTTTTTATTTTCTTTATTGTACATTTATACAACACTACATTTACTCACCATAATTTGAATTTTCAAAATACATATATTTTTGTGTGGAATAAAAGTCTATTCATTAAATTTAAATAAATATTTTGATAATAATATTGAATAATTTTATTTGAATTACTAAAAACCCTCTTAACCCGGTTATGATGCTTAAAGTAGCCTCATGTTTTGAAATGCTGTTTTTATATTGTTTACTTATAAGAGAAATGGACCGAGAAATTGAAGCGGCATAGACAAAGACGGATTGTCGGGGATTAAATTTTAGCTACCTGCTACAATTTAGTACAATCCGGTCACACAAAGTTTTTTTAAAAGTACACCGATAATACATAATATAAAAATATTGAATATAAGCACCAGTACTACATTTATTTACGATTTGCATACATAATAAGCTTTTATTACTCTCTTTCATTTCTAAACAGACTATAGGTATTAATAGGGTATAGTTAAGCCATTTCAACCCCCGATATTCAGAGAGCCCACCAATAAGATAAGAACAGAAACTTCTGGACCCAAGAAATGGGCGTGTCGAAGCGAGGTGTCGAATTCAGGAGAGATCTCTGAAAAAAAGGCAGTTTCCTCCTTGTATTCCACACTGGACAGTTTTCTTAATTTTAGAGTCTCGGGTTTCTTGTTCTTCCAACTTAAGTGTCACCCTATACAACCGACCACTCGATCACATTCTACACGAGCGAGTAAGTGTTTTGAATTCATTCTCTGAACGTACAATGATTCTAAGTTCCCACGTATTAATCAAAGTGTAGATGATAATTATAAACACCCCTTCGAGAAGTAAATGGTAAACTCTTTTGCAATCTAATATCGTTATGGTTGATACTGGTCGTAACGGGAGATAGATGAATAAAGAAATAACCCCTCAGGTTACATGATTATAACCTACCACTAGCAGAAGAAGTATAAGAATAAGAAGAAAACCTATGGAACTGCGAAAATATAGAAACATGAAATTATTTTTTAATTTTTAGGGTACTTGTTTTCTTATCAAAATCGGTTAGTCTGTTAATATTTCAAATGCCAAAAAACTAAGCAATATGAGAATTTAGATGTTACAGCTTCCTCTGCATTAAATAGATACCTTAGGTAAGTGTACCAAGTAATGTGTATACACTTCATACACTCTTCCATAAGCTTGCTCACTTATCTATCGTCTTATAAAATTAAGTTTAGTATTAGAACGATATCTGTCGCCATAAAACCAAAGAAAGCAGTAAACCAAAAACAAATTTCTATGGCCAATAAATTGCTAAGTATCTAGTAGGAGGAATATTTTCAGTTAATACTTGTGAATTGGGTATTGTGGAATGGTTAATGGGGGCCACTTTGAACATTTGCTGTAATAAAATAAAAAGTAATACTATGTTATTGTTTTCATATAATGCCTCAATTTTTTGACAACTATGACAAAAAGTAGGTATAACCTTAATTGCTGAATTCGTCCTATTAAAAATGTCGGTAATGTTATAGGTCTGTCAAACATGACTCAAAAAAATAGAAAATATTGTAGAAAAGTAACAATTTCTGTTTACTAATTGACCAGATTCAGCGATTTTTTAAAATTTCAACTGGAACTGGATATGGCAAGAATAATGCAACACTCTATTTTTACTTTAATAGGTGTTCTATGTTTATAATATAATCTTTTAATTTTTTCTCGATATGGTGTAGAGCCCTTAAAATAATAATATTTCAAAAGCAAGTTAATATCATTTTTCTCAGTGGTAAAGGCAAAATACTTAAACAAAACCAAAGACACACCCACCTTCCTCAATTTGTCTCCAGGCTTCCTCCTGATTTTCTTTGGCATACTTTAGAATCACATCCACTAACGATATCATCTTCCAGGGCAACTGAAACTTGTCCTTTAACCTCTGACACAACTCGAGAAGTATTTCTGCTGCTCGACCTGCCGGCAAAAAAACTGACGTTAGGACTTGATTTCTTACAGTTTGGCAGACTTTAATCACATCCAGGGGTCTACTTGGGGGCTAAAAAATTGCAGCTCCTATGATGGTGGTGACTAAAAGTGAGTTCAGAAGAAAAAACAATGTACAGAAAGGAAAAATACAGGGTGTTCCATTTGATAGGGATTCTTCTATAGTTCTAATATTATTATAAAATACATAGTGTTACAAAACAAAGTTGCACCGAATTCAGGACAAACATATACTGGGTCTAAAAAGTGCCATTCTGCCATTCCTGCATCCTCGAAAATATCAAGTATATCTGAATTTTAATATATTTTTTTTATATATATACTGGGTGTGCCAGATAAAATCGAACACCCCGATAACACTTTAGGATTGACTCCTATAAAGAAAGTTCCATATAGAAGTTGTAGGATATCAAAGAACCAATATTCTGTTGACCTTGGGCTTAACCTTGACTTTAAGTTTCAAGGTCACATCAAATTCAACTTAATATTATTATATATGAAATATTAAATGGAATACCTTATTTATAATGCCAGCGATTGATAAAGTGCACAAATTTTTCGTCCAAAAGTGGAGTCAGAAATTTTTTCTTCGTTGCAGGTCATTTGGAGTTCAAATCAAGTTAATATCAAGGCAATCGATACAGCTCCAAATTCTGTGTCGGAATCCAGGATCAAAGAATTTTTTATGATATCCTCGAAGGTCAATTGAAGGTCAAACTCACTTTTCATAAAACAATCATGGATATTCTAATAGATTTATTTAGCTGAACAGTTAATATGATCTTGACAACAAAATTGAAATTGAACAGGCTGTTAGATTAAGAATAATTAAAATTTGATGATAGGGACATTCTGGAGACTGATATCTGATCAGCTGCTGGGTCAAATCCAAGGTCACCAACTAATTTATCGTTCCAAAAAGTACACCTTTTTTGTTTAAATCGTTTTTTGTCAACTTATTCAGAAAAAATTGATATTGACCTCTTTGAATTGAATCTTTCCTCTACCCCATATTCGGAAGTAAAAATAGTGTTTCATTTAATATTTTCAAGTTGACCTTTGATCTTGAAAATTAAGGTCAAGGTCACACCAAAGGTCACCAGCATATTGTTGTCTCGATACTCCACACTTCTATCTGAAACATTTTTTGATAAACTCAATCCTGAAAAATCATCGACTTTTAAAATGTGTCATGTCAAATTTGGTTTAAATAGCCTTCTTCATTTAGAAGATATTTAAAAAATTCGGATTTTAACGCCCTATATTTCGAAAATGAAGCGACTCTGGAAAAAAATGTATACTTGATTTTTTTCTTATTTTTTTAATGAGGAATATCTCCTTAAAGTTTGTCGACTAATCCTGAAACACCCTGTACAATAAAAAAATATATTTAACAATTCGCAAGAAAATCAACTTTGAAATTCGGACCCAATTTTAACGTTTTATTTTTTAAAAGGTATTTAGGAAAAATACTTCTTAGTAATTATTTCTACATCTCTAACAAGTCAATATAGAACAGATAATTACATATACATAATTATGCCGTGTTCAAAGGAAGGTTAAAACAAAGCATATGTACAACAGCAAAACACAGTTCCTTTATCAAGTGCATTGTTTGATATTCCATATGAGCAGGAAAATGGAAAAGGCTAACAGAAAACTGCAAGTCGAGCTATTTATGGCGTGATATGATGATGTTAATATTTGTTTTAAAATTTCCTTTTGGTAAGTAAGGTTGGAAAGGTAAAGTTAGTACATTGTGACATCATTGACATTATTTTTCACAATATCATACATTTTTTCGTGAATGTTCACATTTTTCTCAACAACTTTCATTAAAAAACTTTTTCGATATATCTGCCAGTTCAAAAGATATAAAATATTGAGAAAAACACGGGTTGAATCAAGTCTGTTACTGATTTTATCAGCGTTGCCCTATTGTTTCCAAAAGGTCCTACAGCTAATTTCGATTATTTCCGAACTTCCCCAAAAATCAGAAATAAAACATGTCAGTGATGAACATAAACGTTGAAAGTATCTTGTTTTTCACGGTAACATTGAGAAAACGAATACACACTTGATCTGCTAGTGTTTAATTTCTTTATACATACTGTCTTTCGAGGGAGAAGATATACCGAAAATTTTTTTAAATAAAAGTTGCTGAGAAGAAGGAGGACTTTCCGATGATACAAAAAACTTGTGAGGATTATCAAAAAAATAATTTCGATGACGTTACAACTTGTAGAGAGGTAAATTTACGATGATCTAATTTTAAATCAAATATTTGTGTAGATTCCTGCCTGCGGTTTCGTGTTTGCTCTTTCCGTTTTCCTGTAATGTCGTCAATTCTAACCATGTATTCGTAAAGACATAAAATCGAAGAAGAACAAAATTACTCGGCCTTTTAAAAAATAAACAAATTACCCTTTAACTCCCGTTAATTCGGCGCTCTACTTTGCTTCGAACGTTGAAGCGAAACAGCTGATTTCCCCAGTCATCTTAAATTTTGCAATTGATTTTAGAATGAAAGTGCAGTGATCATCATTTTATTAACAAAATGCTGTGGACGAGTGAGTGTTTTTTTAGCCGTACTGTCATTTTAAATAGGAAGGTACCATACTACTCTTTGCAAAGCAATAAGTCGCACAATAAGGTATACGTACTATAAACTGAATAATTAATTTGAAAATAATACTAAAAACTCATATTCAAATAAAAAACATAGTGAAAACGTGCATTATAAATTCTAAATTGGAATTACCTTAATATTCGAAATTAATTATTATTCTTATACACTTGTTTTTATTAACAAATATACAGGGTGTTTCTAAAATAGGATTCCAAACTTCTGCTGCTTTTATAACTCATTAAAATAAGCCAAAAAGTTCCTATTAACATGTGCCCTAAAACGCACTCTTAGGAAGTTATATGCCCTTAAAAGGGCTCCAACGAAACGGTTTTTTTTCTACTTAAATTTTTCACTCACCACTTTTACTAATTAAACACTGTAAAGCTCAATTGACAGTTTACCAATAACTTAAATTGTTAAGCGTTGTGGCAACGTCAGTCTTTTATTTGCCATGGAAAAAAGATTTTTGTAATTTTCAAACTCAATTTACTCGAAAACCATTGGAAATATCGATTTGGACAAAGATAATATTTTTAACGTAAAATTGTTAAGATTTTATAAATCTGTAGAGAAAATTGTAAAAAACTTGAAATAAAAAAAATTATGGGCCGAAAACCCCCTTCACCAACCTAAATGGGACGCATATCATTTGCATGTCGAAAAACGGAGTAGCCCATGTTATTTAACGTAAAAAGTTATGTAAGACCCATAAATTTTTTTCTATTTATTTGCGACCGTTTTGTCAATAACATAAAAAAAACAGTTTTGTTTGAGCCCTTTTAAGGGCATATAACTTCCTAAGGGTGCGTAGGGTGCGTTTTAGGGCACATACTAATAGGAACTTTTTGGCTTATTTTAATGATTTATAGACGCAGCAGAAGTTTGGAACCCTATTTTAGAAACGCCCTGTATAGTACCTGTTAATATTTAAAATTTAAAAAAATACTTATTCATTCATGTGTAAAGCTCGGGGTTTGTATCGGTTAGTCATAGGCGTGTTCGTCGTATACAAATAAATAAACAGGTAGGTGTAAATAAAAATAAATAAATTTGCGTTTTTTACCCCTTGGTGTGTTCTACATTATTAAAACATATATACACGAAATAAACGAGAAGCCAATAACTGCCGTTATTACATGTTTCGTACGGTGCGCTGTAGCGAAAGGCCGACGCAAAGGCTATGATCATCCGACCGAGTACCTAGCTCTATTCATGTGTATATGTAAAAAGGTCTCTTTTTGTGGTTCACTATTAAAAACATAGAAAAAGCGTGATTAGTCACCGAATACGGTCATGATTCACTCTCGATAAACCTTTGTAGACAGCGGTCAAGAACAAGAATAATTATTCGAAAAAGTTTTTTTCAGAGTAAATATGCATTTTTAATAGCGTATTCGTATTCTACTCATTTTTTCCTATTTTCCCTTAAAATAAATGACATTACAACTAAATCGCCCTGTATATAAAGAGTCGGCACTCGTGAATTAATAGGTTTCCAATTGCTAAGTAGGCTCGACTAATTATTATAAAAATGCCCTAATATCGTGCTGTCATTACGTCGATAATTAAGTATGACGTAGTCTGTCCAGGCGGATATATAATTAACTTTGATGTAGAGATTGTAACTAGTTAAATTATTGGCATGAATCCAAGAGCACAAATGCATTTTATTAAGTAAATATTAACTGTATATTTCCAACTGATGTTGTCTTTTAACGATTTACGCTGAAAAATACATAAAATAATAAATTAATTGATATTGCAGTCACTTAAATTTCAATGGTAATAAAATAATTAATATAGACAAGTATGAATGGACAACAATGCAGAAATCCGAGTAAATATTTGTCAAAGCTTCTATACGAGGTGTTAAAATTATTTGCCATTTAGTGCCATTTAATAAGGCAACAAATATCTTCTCCTTATTAATGCGTGACATAACAGTTTAATAGGCAATGAGTTAAAGAAGTCCAAATATTAACCCTTGTGGTACGTCTATTTAATAATTCACAATAAATGTGGAACTATAGATCAGAAGCGTTTCTAACAGTTGACGCATTTTAATAGATTTTATGTACAGTCTATGTGATGGAGAAAGTAGAGTTAAAATTGGATCTCTTTGAAAGTGGCGTTGCTTTCATTTTGTACATCGTTTGTTACACCTACTCGAGCGCATTTATACGAAAAATTGTCGCCACGTGGCAAATCCTTTGCGTTAAATTGAGACGAGATATTTAAAATATTTCGCTATGCTAAATATACAGAAAAATCTTTTATTTGCAAATTTGAATGTAATATAACCTACATAGCATTGCCAATATACTTAAGCAAAGTTTATGTT